AGATATTCATAATATTTTGTTTCCAAAGAAAGTATTTTTCCCCTCTTTAAAAAAATTTCTTCCCAAATTGAAACATGCTTATTTAGGTTTTTATCTAAAGTACAAATAGCTACCAATGTTCTACCCAATATACTCATATATTGAAGATGATAACATTCCATCCACTCAACAAGTAATTATGCTTTACAGCAAAATGGATAAGTGCGTGTTTTTGAAGTCTGCCTGCCTGGGTTCATATACCCCCTTCACTCACCAGCAGTACATCTATGAGGAAATTCACTTAACCTCTGTGTGCCTTTCCTCATCTATAAAATGGAGATGAAAAGAGATCCCATCTCATAAATATCTTGTAAGAATTATGGGGATAGATATATGGAAAGCATTTAAAATAATGCCTGCCTCAAAGTTAGTATTCATAGATCTTAGCTATTATTATTGTAATTATTATTACTATGTGACTGCCATATAGTAATATAATGATTATAAAATCAATAGTAATTAAATTATAAGAGAAAAGAAGCACCATTCTTCAAGGAGCTTGCAACTGCATTAATTAATTGAAACAAGTGTATGTAAGCAAAATACAATTTAACTTATATCTATATGTTTTAGTAAGCACTGAAAGATTTTGTGGGTCAAGACAACATAATATAGTCTATAGTGTCAGATAAGATTTTATAAATGAAGCAATACTGAAACTAGATAATGAAGAACATGTATATTTTATTATCTTATTATTGAAATGTTTAGAGATCACCTAGTCTAAGTTCTCTCACACTAGAGATAAGTATAGTAAGGCCCCCAAAGATTATTTGGCTTAACATTTTTTTTTAATCTAATAAACAGAAAAATAAGAGTAGGAAATAAGGAGCAGAGATACAAGGCTGGAACCCATGACAAATAGTCCATTCACTCTAACTTCCTTCTGGTTTGTTGGAAAGCAAAAAAATTACACTTCCTAGACTTCCTTGCATACCTATCTCAGTACTTTCAATGCAAAGGAAACACAAGCAATTATTTCATTCACGGAGACCATAAGATAAGAAAAAAGCTGCTAAGAAAATGTACAAAGATAACTT